TGGGATACCGAGGGGATGAACCACTCTTATGCATAACCGACTCGGACTTCCCAGATCTAGCAGGTGCTACCCACTTGCCGATGTCAGAGATCTTGATCATAAGGGTTCTCAAGGAGACGAGAGTAGTAGGCCCCTGGTCAGCAGGGTCAGAGAGTTGCCCGAGCAGGTAACCGGAAGCGCAAGCGCTAGGTAGCCACAATTAAGCTTATTCAATGATATATGCAAGGATGTGTCCCACCTATCTGTTTTTGAGGAGCCAGTTGTTGGGTATTCTCGGCGTGTCAGAAGAATTACATTAATCGACCATGACCAACTGTCCAGCCGATCTCCCATTCGAATTTCTAGCCACAATCACCAACATGATTTGATCTCTTGGAACCTTTCCAGAAGTCGGGTATTTCTCCATCACAGGTTCCCGCTCTAACTCAGTTTGCCAACCCCACGTGTCCCCATTGATCTCAACCGGGGAAGACAGCTCGCCATTGGCGTATACTTGAATGTTTGCGGTAACCACAGCAGGATCGCTCGCACGAACCGAGCCCTTGATCGAAACCTTTCGGATCTCCAGACCTATTCGATCGACATCCTCCACGTGGAGGATTTTGATCCTCAAGTCCGGACTGACCCTTCCGAGTAAAGATCCCCCGGAAAGCTTTACAATGTCGGTTTGCAGCCGAGGCGTCGCTGGGGGGCTTTCTCTGCGTCTTGTCGCAGTCTCATACGCATACGCATATCGAAGAAGATCACTATCACTCCAGCCCTTTCCAGCAAAAGTCAGGCCAACGGGCATCTTCTTGTCAGATAGAGTCCCCATTGGCACCGTCACCGCCGGCACACCGAGGTGCTTCATCGCTCGATTGCCATTGGAGTACTTCACGCCATCTTGCAGCGTATGCAGCATTGAATCGCGCTTCTCCTCGGAGTCAGCCCTTCCGACGTCACCATTAGTAGGAAAGACGAGGACGTCGAACTTGTTCTCGTCCATCCAATCCTCCAAGTCTCTCTTGCGGGCGGCCTCCAAGGCTACCAATGCTTCGGCACATCCGGGCAAGTCCTGGATCTTTTCGGGCCGCTTGCGAATAAAGTCAATCATCTCCTCGTATCGCACGTGATTCTGTTGCTCGGTGAAGTCTGCAGGGTCATCCATTGGCGCAAATCCGGGGTTGATCTTTCGGCTATCCACGGTCTCTAGGCGTGGGTAGGCTGGGTCGTTGTTGTACTTGAGAAAATCATCCCATGCGGTGGCAATCATTTGGCATCGCTCGGTATCCATCCACGTGTCTGGCATTCCCGGTACGTTGGCGGCCTGTCCTGGGAAGTCCTGCTTGGAGTATTTTTCGACCATGGGAAAGTCCGTCTCAATTATAGTTGCTCCTAGCGTTTCCAAATCGGCCCGAGCCTGTTCCCACAGTAGACGTGTGGCTTCCGTGCAAACCACCGAGTAGCCAGACGACGTCTGCTTTCCGATGTAGCACCTTGGAACGGCGATGCGTCTGCCCCTCAACGAGTCAGGGTCCATGAGACTGCTGTAGCTACGAGGGCGAAGGTCTGAAACCTGGGGGACAGGAACAGTTGTTTGTTCCCGCCAAAAGTCGCCTCTCGGATTCTTGTCGTCGACGACAATGACATCCAAAACTTTGAGCATGTCTGCCACTGACTTGGTGTAGGGTACGACAACGTCACACGTTGGATACAACGGCCAGAGCCCTCGAGAAGGTATGACCCCTCTTGAAGGGGAGTAAGCAACGAGAGCATTATGCGAGGCCGGCGCTCGACCTGATGAGACGGTTTCGCTGCCAAAACTGATGGGAGCAAACGACGCCGTGGTAGCCACGCCACATCCGTAAGATGAACCGGAAGCGAAGCTTGTGCAAAGGTATTCCGGGTTGTATGGGCTGATAGATCTGCCGTGGAGGCCTCTTTGACTGCCACCATCAGCCATAGGTGGCATATTAGTCTTTCCAATGAGCACGGCGCCAGCCTCGCGGAGAAGGTTCACGACGGCCGCGTCAGACGACGAGACGAGGTGTTCGAATGCCGGTGAGCCTGCGGCTACTGTGAGACCCTTGGCTTGAAAGCTGTCTTTTATCGTGAAAGGAATGCCTTCAAGGGGTCGAGCTGGCTGCCCAGAGGCTCGGTAGTCGTCTGAGGCTTGGGCTTCTTCAAAGACATTGGGATTGAGAACGCAGATCGAATTGAGGAGCGGGCCCCGGCAGTCATACTTCCCAATGCGATGTAGGAAGCGTGCCACGAGGTCAACACTTGTCAATCTTGTTGTGGACAGTGCATGTTGCAACTGGCCGATAGTTGCCTCCGTGATGTCGAGAGTTTGCAGGACGGTCATCTTAGTTGGTGCCGGTGGTTTCAACCTGAGCAAACGAAACAAGCAATTGCCGATGATTCAAAGGGTCCGAAAATGAAAATGCAACAATTGTTAGCCTTGAGCGAAAGATTTCTGCCAAATCACCCATTTTATACGGCATCTTGAGCGAGTCTCTCGCGAAGCGCAACCGATGTTAGTGACTGGGAGGGAATGTCGAGACGATGTTGAAGCTGAAGGTGGAGACGAGGGAGGGAAGGTCGAGCCGGATTTGGGAGCGAAAATGCCCAAATCGTGCTAAACACCAGAATCCGCAGCCTCTGATTGGTCAGCGCCGATTCCCGAGTCTCGCGAATTTCCGCGCACCGCTACTTCAACCCGAAAATATTCATCGATGTCGGGACGCAGCCCGAGATGCTCGGATTCATCCATACGGCCGCCTGTTTGACAAAGCTGATCTGATTGTTCTGCGGCAATTTCAAGTGTGGCTGCGCAGCTCCGTGAAGTGAGCCATGCATGTCTAACATCAAGACCGTCTTCAGCTATGGGGCATGTACAAGATTTTTGAGGTTCTGTGAAGCATGACTTTGGACCAAATTCACCAAGCCTAAGAATCGTGTGTTAGAAGTAGAGCCATACGTGTAGATAAGGGACATAGCCAGTTTCCGACAGACGAAATGTCGGCTGCGGCTGTGGTTTCGTGAATGACTGCCTAAGAAGATCCTTCCATTGTCTTGTTCGTCAACGAAGCCTAGAGTTTGGCTGCTCACGAGAAGATAACCTATTCTGCGTCAAGTCTCCAGTAACATCAGGTTTGATTACAGCGTAGAACCGACTTTTTTCCGTTTTAGGAAGTAGCAAGTCGTTGCTGTCAATTCACCAGATCGTCGCGCTAAGGTGTCAGCTTGCACTCCATTATCTCAAAAAAGCAACAAGCCCTTTCCATAGCCACATAATTCCTAGCCTCTGAACTGTGGCATTGTCCAATCAGCACAACTCCGAGGCTCTTCAGCCACTGGAACGTCTAGGTCGCCTTCAAACAGAGGTCAAATTACGCATGCCAAGCTTCAGCTGCCAGGCATGTTCCAACTCGTCGACAGAAAAACTCCATGTTATTGACGGCCAAAATCCGCTTCAGTTCACGTCATCAGCCCTACAGATTACCAACCCTAGTGAATGTCAGCATTCAAGTATGGCTAAGCATCGCTGGCTGTGTCTATCGGCGGCAACTGCGGGCGCCAAGCAGGATGTCTTACCCTGAATAATACCGATAGAGCTTTTATCCAGCAGGCATGCTGACATCGGTGGCTTCCAGGTTGAAGATAAAATATTGCCGAGCTCCTCCATCACAGTTTCTCGATTTGCAACACACAACTCACCACCAATTCACTAAGTTAACATCAGTCTCTATACCAAATAAGCAGCAAACGCGACCAGCATCATGCCATTTTTGCAAAAGAGCGACGAGCCTCAGCCGACCGGGCCCCCATGCGAAGTCCTCCGCGTTAACAAACGCTTCGGCGGAGCCCAAACGACGATCGACCGCATCGATCCGGTCACTGGCTTCGCGACACCATTCTACATCCTGCACAACAACGACGAGAAGTCCATCGCTGTCATCCATGCCGATCCTCGCACGCAGCAAATGTCGGACCAGGCCCTTGGCACGGCGCAACGGCACTCGCTCTCCTCAAAGATCGACGTTGTCTTCCGCGGTATGCCCTTCAAGATGAAAGGCAATGATCTGGGCATGGGACACGATTTTGATTACATGGGAGTGCGGTACAGCTGGAGACTGTCGAGTTGGACGGGCTCCACAGGGACGATCTTCATGGAGGACGGGAATGGGAGGCTATTGGCGAGATGGAAGAGGAAGCCTGACGGGAATGGGACGAGCCCGACTTTTGAGGTGTACGTGCCGCCACAGAGTATCGATATGGACATGGTTATTGTGACGGGGCTGGCTTCGATTCAGTATTGGGTCAAGGAGAAGAAGGACACCATTGAAGTCGTGGGGGAGCTTCTCGGTGCGTCGTTGTGATGGAACACGGATTACACTTTCCTCTTTTCCAGTCGTTTTCTCTGTGATATTCATAGCGACTCGCCATTGCTGAAATCAATCCGCAAGGTTTCCGACCTTCAGCATCCGTCCTGGAATGCAGAACTGTGGAATCCACGTCAAAAACAAACTTACAATATGAGCATCAGGGGAGTGAGAACAATTCTTGTAACAGGTGAAAGATCTATCAACATGTTCTTTGAATCTCAAGACATCCACAGTAACCCATGGTCCTTATTACCGGTTCTGAAGAAGCTTGCTTTTGCCAGCATTTCGTCCCATCTTCCTCCGCTAGGCCCCAGAGGTCTTTTCAGCAAAGCAGGAAAGCGCACATCTCGACACTATTCTACAACCTAGGTCGCTCCTTCTCTTCAATACTCCAAACGGTTTGAAAAAAAAGCAAAAGTTTGCTCTTGCCCCTGCCGATCCAACTCTCGCTCCACGACTATTTTTCTTCTTGCCCCAACCCTCTCGCTCCCTTCAACCTTTCACTCCCATAACCACAGTAGCTTTAAGCAGACTCTCCTTTTGCACAAGCAGCCACTCCTTTCTGACCAACTTACTACCTCATTCTCCATTCATTCCTTCTTCACGCTCTTTACATTTCGTACAACCTGCAGAATGGAGACCTATTTCGAGCGCCTCTTCACCTTCCACGCCACGGGCTCCGAGTCTGGCGACGGCGAGGGCATGAAGTGGCCCGTCAACACCCTCCGCCCCGAGGACATGGCTGGGGCTGGCTTCTTCTTCACTGGAAACGAGACGCAGACGCCCGATAGTGTCACCTGCTTCTCGTGCAAGATGCAAGCCTGGCAATGGAAGCGGAATGACGATCCGTTCGATGAGCACTCGAGCGGCTCCCCCAACTGCGACTACGTCACCACTGAGCAGTTCGAGGATCGCCACAAGTTGTTCCTCATGGACCGGGAGAGCAAGAATGCTTCCAAGCAGAACAGCCCTGCTGCCTTGGAGGCGCCTGCCACTCCCCCTGAGACGCCCACCAAGCCCAAGACTATCAGAAAACCCAAACGCAAGATGGCTATGTCGCCCATCGTCACTATCTATGACAGTGCTCCTGCCGACAACCAGGCACAGAATGCAGTCCACCATGACACTGGCAAGCAGCCCGTTGAGATTGCCATCACCGCGGGTGATAGCAAGTTCACCATCCAGGTGACCGATGTCAGCCCCAGAGGTACGTTGATCAGAAATGTTACTTACTAGACACATCGCTGACATGTACAAATAGGCACCAAGCGTCTTCGGGTCGATTAGAACATTGAAGTCGCAACTACTTCGCCTCATTTCTCGTTGAATATCAGGCGGACAGTGACTGATCCGAGTTACTGTCTCGAATATTGTCAGTCATACCTCAAAACCTCAGAAGGCAAGAACGACAAGGCTGACTTTTGCGCAACAGGATAAACACATTTACACTTGTCCAATGCGATATGACGACATTACGACAGACACTTGCTTAGATATCACGCGCCTTTCCGATCAGACTCAGGAGTGGCCCGGTTCGCTTCTCATGAGCCACGCGACACCTACACCGGTGGTTCGAAACAGAGGAAGAGGCTGTGCCACAATTTCTACTTACACACTTGCTACGGTCCACAGGACAGATGTCGAGGATATTGAAGGATTTGATTGCACGTGGTTGAAGGATGTGTGGCAAGCGGGAGGAAAAGGAAAATCATCCGTCGAGTCATACACTCGAGATAGCTTCTTCCCAATATCACTCGCTTCCTAGCCCAAGCCTACCAACCTGCGTGATGTCAAAAGCAGATGTGGCGAATGAGGTTCGCACCCGTCCCGTGATGTGCGGTGAGACAAGCCCGCTCAAGACCCTCTGCGCAGATGCGGTCAACCCAGGCAGGCGACACTGACACCGCAGGCGGCAGCCACGTTGCCAAACTCACACAGATCACCATCCTCGGTCTTTAAATTTACGATTCAAAGTGAAGAAAAGATTCGGAGGCTTGTGGGGTTGCGGGAGCTGAAGTGCAGCAAAGAGCATACGGGTGAGAGAATACGTCAAGCGACGATCACCAAGCTCACCGACAGGAAGGCACATCTTCAAAAGCACATTGCATGCGAATCCTCCCAAAAAAAGCTTGCCCTCTCGTCAGCCAATCCCCAGGTTTGAGCGATATTCAACCAAGCAGCGGACGCCTCACCAAGAAGCCCGCCGCCCATCCTGCCTTATTCAGCACTTTGAAGTCGGGCTGTACCACACACACTGGCCGCAGACGCGGGGAAGTAGAAGTAGAAATGGAAGTATCCGTCCTAAGCTACACCTACCCCCCAACGAATGACAGAGACCGGCGAGTGCCTTCAGCCACTTGACGTGCGGGCATGTGGTGTGGTGCACCGCCGGCCGGGTGCGTGTGGTTTGCCTGTTCGCGCTACAGTGGAACCCGCTGTCAGGCGGGTAAGGGCCGGCGGAGTTTTTGGCTGCCCTGCAGTGTGCTTTTGTCGGATGCCTGTGTGGCTGCGGCGCGGGAGCGGGAGGTGAGGTGGCCCGTGACTTACTGCCGTGCTGCGGCCGGGGCGGCGATGCGGCGGGCAGATGTGTGTGTGACTGTTGAGAGCAGGTAGGCTGACAACAATTGATGATGCCTAGAAATATATAATTCACAGGTCAAGGCCGTTGAAGAAATCATCAAGACCTAGAGGCAGAGATCTCATCAGAACGAAGCAAACTAGAGCCACAAACCATCAAGAAACCATCACAACCACCACCAACAAACGGGAAACAACACACAAAAGACAATGACGACCGTCAGCCAGACATACCGACACGGACGCTCGGGGCGCAACCCGCTCAGGACAGCCTGGCGCGAGACGTACGAGGTCTGGGACGGCGTCTGCTACGGCGTGGGCAAGGCCTACTTCAAGATCACCGGCAAATGGTGATTGATCTGTGCGGGCCGCTGTTCCTACAGCCATACTTTCGGGGGGTTAACGGGGTCGCATGCGCAGATTAACTCGCCGAGACGAGATACACGAAAAAAGGGCTGAGCGAGAAATCAAACATTTTTGGTTTTCTTGTTTTTTTTGGGGACATCCCTCCCCCCTTCTCTGACGATCGCGAACGATACGATACGATACGATACGATAACGGACGGTGCGACGACACGAGTGACGGCGGCGGGACGAACGCTACGCTGGGCAGATGAAGATTGACAAGACGGAGCGTCCACCGATGACGTCGAGCGATGGAACAGCAAGCACAGCACACTGTGGGCAACAGCAAAAAAATCTCGATCAGCGAGCGACTGAGCGCGACCCCATCAACTTGACACGGACTACGGGGGGGGACCCAGGGGCTGGTGCTGGTCGGGCATGGAACGAGACGTCGGGTGAGGCGAGGCGGCGACCGGGGATTCCGCTGCGAGGAGGCCGCGGGAGGAGCGTTTGGTTCGAGGGAGGTTCAGCGGGACGGGTGGGATGAGGAGCTGAAAGACTGAAGTGCGATGGCAATGCTCAGCTGTGGTTGTTGTTGACGATTTGGATTGATTGAAACACGGTAATGGAGGGGCGAAACGCGGGTTTACCAATAATAACAGCGTGAACCCGGGCAATCAGGGGCGACGGAGTAGGGACAAACGCGAGACTTTTTCGCTTCAGAGTTTTGGCGGGCTGGGATGAACATCAACGGGGCACAGCACAGGCACTGCCGGAAGTTTGATAAGCAATGCCAGAGATGGGGATGTGCGATGGATTTATTTTGGACACGCGATTAGTCAACCTGTGAAGAAGGGACAGAGACAGAGGATAGATTTAGAAACAAGAAAAACAAGCAATGATGAACATGTCGACTGGAGCAGGATTGTTGGGTGATGGTGCTGCATGGCAGATGATCAAGTGTCGGTCGGTCCACTGAAAGACCACAATTATCGATTCACAGTCACGGTCGTGCCAGGCCTGGCAGTTGTCTCTGCCTTGCACCGAGAACTGGATTGTAGGTAGTGAGTGGACTGGGAGCATGAACATCAAATTCCAGGTGGTGCCAATGAAGGCGGGTGACTTGTCGAATCGGGTGTGCTGGGCCAATTTCGGCTCCACTGGACGTCTTGTTTGGGCTAAAGCGCGTAAATTAACTTAAGGTGGCCCCAAGAAAAGAGAGTTAATTGACTCCCGCCGCCGTCACTATTTTTGTTGGTATTTTATTCCTTTTCTACTGCGCACTGTACGTTTCTGACTCGGGTGGCCTGGGTGGGATGGGATGGGATGGGATGGATGGATGGATGGTTGGATGGTGGTTTCGTAGGAGACCTTGGAGGCCGTCCTGCAGTGTGCCTCGTATTCTTTTGGGGGTTGATGGAATTTCGATGTGTTGCTGCATCGATCATCGTCATTCTGCCTGACTTGCGTCGTCTGGTCTCGTCGTGATTACGCTGAACTTTTCCCAAACTCAAGCCAAAGTCTAAAATACGAAGGACGAGTCTGCAGTGCAGTAGGGCTATGCAGCTTGGCACAGTAGCGTGCGTCGTCATAGAAGAATGAGACAGCAAGTCACCACTCACCTACCTTAGGTACGGATATAGGTAGCGCAAGACATCGGACCGGTTGGTTCGATGTTGATGGATGGATGCGCGATGGACGACGGGTGGCAGTTGGACGTGTGGGATGATTGGAGGTGGACGTCCGTGACAGTGCCTGTGGACTGGACCGAGATTGGAATTTGGCGCCAACGGCCCCTCTGTGAATCTCGCAAGCACCCAGGCATGGTCTCCTCAGTGGATGGCGAGGAGTGGCTGTGGTGCAGGTCTACGGGAGATCTGGACCGTCCGTCGGCAATGTCTTGTGTTGTTGGTCTTTCGTAATGTTTGGTGTTCTTGGTTCGGCCAATGTTTGCTGTGCCATTGCATGTGGTTCATTCTGATGAAGTGCCACTGTGCCCCCCGGGGGAGTTAGGGGGACACAGGGAAGGCGGACTGATGTGGAGCAATATCCGATGGCCGTATGTTGATTGTAATAACGATTGCAAGGAGTGCCGTCGGCGACTGATTTCCCATTCGACGTGTGTTTGGCCGAGCGGCCTTTCGCTGATGAGTTCGCATTGGCAGCGCTCTCCAAGATCTTGGACGGCCTGAAGGAGAGACGGTGTCGCGCTGGGCGGCGGGCTGGGCAGAGACAGCTGAAATGAGTTTGACCTCGACCGTGCGATCCCCGATGTGAAGTCTGGCAGATGGAGGGGCGGGTTGACAGCGGGAGTTGGGGGTCTTGGGGGATAAAAAGAGGCGCAGAATGGACGGCAAGAAATGCCAATGCTTGAGCGCGATGGCGAGTCGGTGCTTGGCGGCAATACTGCGGTAGCTTGTCGAGTGCTACTCAGGTATGGCGAAGGCAGGCGGCGGAAGTGATGCAGAGGACTATTGGCGATGATTTACCGTTGGACCGTGACGGGCGGTACTCGATGCCTGCATCATTGACCGGAGGGATGTGCGATGATGGGTGGATGGGTGGATGGGGTGGTGGTGGGTGGTAGGGGGGCCGGCGTCCGTAGGTCCCGGTCTGAGAAAATCAGCCGCTACTCCAGGCCGAAGCTCACCTGTGTGGAGATTGCCCCTATTTCTCGCCATTTTGACTAACGGCCTTGGGGGAGAGGAGCAGAGAGCGGTCATGGCATACAGAGTAGTGTTGATGGTGGTGGAAGGGCAAGGAAATGATGGCTCGTTAGCATTGTCCGTTGCAGATGGTGTGGCAGCCAGATGGAGCGGTATGTCGCCCGTTGTGTCATCCGTCATTGCTGACCGTTTGCACACTGTTGCGCACTGTGATGGACTGTGGCAGGCAGGAGGCTCTCACAGGCTTGAAACGAGATGAACCTGGCCTGGGCGGTTCCCGGGGGGCCACTATGCAGTAGGTCTGGTCGGGAGAGTGATGCGTGATGCGTGACTGGGTAGGTACGCAGGTACCTCGTGATCCAGCCATGTCTCGCAGCGGCTTCAGGTACCATGTCGACCGCCTCAGTCTGATGCGATGCGGTGGTTTGTGGTTTCTGGCGAAGGGCTGAAGCAGTGAACAAGACAGACTAAACAGCTGCGCCTCCTCGAAACGTGCGACGACCGTTTGAATACGGGTTCCTTCCTGCCTTTAGGACCTTACCTTAGCTTAGGTAAGAAGTAATTGGAATGGGATGAGGTGAGGAATGGGATGAAGAAGGGGAAGGAAGGAGGAGACTCATCACTCACACTGTCCTTCCTTCCGCGCTTCCATCGCATCGCACCTGCTGCTGCTGCTGGACCGCTAAAGAAAGAAGGAAC